GATCCGCACGGACGAGGTTCCGGAGTGTCGTATCGTTTTCTTTACCGGAGACGATGGCATTGGCGGCAAGTTGTGCGCAGCGGGACTAACGTCCACGCCGGAGGATACGCCAGTAGCATTTACTTGGTACGGAGCCATCCTTTCGTTCCAAGATTTTGCTCACAACATCGCCAGGCAAAAGGGGGGCATCCGTCTACAGACTTTTGGCCACGGCAAGGTGGATCTTCTCAACTACGATCCCGCTGCAGTGGGTGCGGACCTACAGACCGTTTTGGCAAAGGACCTACCCTTCATGGTGGAGACGGTTGATGAGACCATCAAAAAGGCCAATCAAAGTCGTGCTGCCCAGCCGAAGTATGCCCAGCAGCATCCGCCAGGTGGTGGCAAGGGCTCTACGTATGCCCGAGCAGCAGAGAAGGGAAAAGGCAAACGCCCGGCTAACGCCGAGGCCGCCGATCGCACCGACCGCAACTGGGACTGGGATGATCAATCCTGGTGGCAGAATTGGTCTTCGTCATCCTGGGGATCATGGCGCGGCCAGAACTGGGACAACCGGGACTGGCGTGAGTGGCGCAATCGCGGATGGCGTTGGTACTGATAAGCCGACCCAGTAGTCTGATTCTTTCGAGCAAGAGGGATGTTCACCCGGCCTGTGATATTTTTCAAGTGGCTGTGCGGCGAACTCCTATCGTCCTTGCTCCACGCTGAAACCAGCGTCTTGCATTTGAAGAAAAGCTCGTATGCAGTTTTCGCACCCTTCCTCGAGGCACACGATAGTCACATGTACTTTTGCTGATACAACTGATGACGCGGGAGGCAACTCCACGCCGATCGTCGAACTCCGAGCCGAAGCGCTCTTCCACCTGCAGGCGAAGGTATGCTGTGTTTTTGAATGCAGTGACCGTGCCTTTAGGTGAGGGGGGTGTAGTTTTGCATCGCAGCTTGCGTAGGAGTTTGTATGGTCGTGTACAGTCATCATGTTGTGTACTATATACCGCTGACTATTGTGCCCAAGCCCTCTGAGTAAAAGGTTAGCGCGACCGCTCATGGCTTAACGGTTTTGGTGTATTCTATAAAAACCTTTAGGTTTGGCCTTTAGGGTTTGGGGTTTTAAGCTTAGAAGTGGTATCCTAGTTAGGTTTGCTTGGTATCCTAGTTCTTCTGCCTACTCCTTAAATGAGTTAAATCAATACCCTCACAAACTAATGTATGATTGTCTTTCTCTCTGAATTTCTTAAGGTCGTTTAAGGACTGTATCATTTTACATTCAGTCGGTTCGTCTTTCTCGTTGATATGATAATCTGGGGATGCCTTAACCGCTACATCTTGATTCTCACGGATTGCCACCATTTGTCTTAACATCTGTAGATTATCATTTGCGGTATAGATGTGATTGTTTTTAACAAAAGCGTATAATGTTGGTATATGGTGGATGTATTTAGTAGGTGAGTATTTGAAACGGATTTATGAAGGAGTTAATTATTCTATCTTGAATGCCGTAGTGTTCAAAGACCGGCACCTTTCCTGTATTGACGCCCCGTTGGTTTTGAAATCGTTTTCGGTTTTGTTCATAAGTGTTAACATACTTTCTTTTGTAAGTCGGTTCTTTTCCCTTCTCTTCGTTCCCATAAGCGTGTCCTTATACCAATCCGTTATGGTGTTAAACCAACACTCGTTCTCTTTTTAATGTTTTACTTGTACTGCTTCCTTGAAGGTTTCAAACTCTGGGTCTGAAGGCGTTTGACTGTAAATGTTATACATACTTACATTAGCGGTATTTGTTAGTTTCTCCGTTTCTGGTTTAAAGTCTGTAACGCCAACTACTTTCTCTGAGCCTTTGATTTCAATACATTCTATATACTGCTCCGTGTGAAACAAATCGTCTTCTAAATCTGGGTCTGTGATGAAGGTATCCATTAGTTTTTTTAAATATCTGTTTCGTTTCCTTCCCGTATCGCCATATTCGCTTTCCCACTAAATCCTCTGTGTACTTGGTTGCTTTGACGTTTTCGCATTTAGGGTCTTTCCAGAAATAAGTGATTGGTCTGCCTTTAGGGTCTTTGAAAGATGTTTTAATTGCGTTGTCTTTTTCTAACTTAAGCTTATAAAACATATCATCTATAGAGTTTAGTTCTGAGTGCCCGATTTGGTTTTCGGGTTTCGTTTGTTTTCTTCTTTTGCCTTCCGCATTCGTTGCCCTAACGGTTCTTGTTCGTGATGTTTTGCGTGGATTTTGTCGTATGCGTTGTTTGCCTTTTCTTTCGCTTTGTCCGTTTTTGCGGTTATAAGCTGTCTGATTAAATTTTCTACCGTGATGAATTGCGCTATTTTACGGTCTTCGTAGAAGTTAATTAAGTTTTGTAGTTTGTCTCTTGTGTTTTGGTTTAGCCTATTCTTATAATTGTCGTAGGTTGTTTGTAATGCTCTCGTGTTTCTCTTAGTGTTTTTACTCATAAATCAGTATAATTCATATACATGAAATATGTTATTTTTAAATGTTTTTTCTAAAGATTTTCGTTATAATTTAAGAACTTATATAAATATATTGTATAGAATATATGAACCCTGTTAGAAATCCTGAAGATATGACAATAGACGAGATTAAGGATATCAACGGTTGTATTATAACAAAAGAAAGGAAGACGAAAACTACATGCAGAAGAAGCGCGAAGCTAGTATAAGGCACGCCCGGAAGAAGAGGATTAAGGAATACCTAGAAGAAAAGAGCATCAGTGAAGAGGATTTAACACCCAGTCAGATTAACGAGATTATGAATGAGAAGAAACCCACGGGAAGAAAGCGCGGAGCACCCAAATACAATATGAACGATTACAAAATCATTATGCCAAACACCTAGTATAAATGATGATTTTGTTTTATTAGTCAGTCATTATTTTCTTACTTATTTCATATCTTACTATGAGCGAAAAACAGAAAATAATAAGCGAAGTGTATTTTGATAGAGGTGGTTATGGTTCAAAACAAAGGACATTAAGCGAAGCACGGGAGAAGGACAAAACCATAACGAGGGCAGATATTAACGAGTTTTTTAGAAAAAACGTTGAACAAAAAAGAAAGCCGGTGGGTCAAAACAGTTTCATCGCCCCGCATTCCGCTTACGAGTATCAGATGGATTTGTTTTTCATAAACGATATGAAAGAGCAAAAGACGAAGGTCGGGATGTTGATGATCGACGTTTTCGATAAGCTTATGCACGTGGTGCCAATACAAAGAGGAGGGAGACGTAGCGAGTGGAATGATTGAGTGCTTACATAAGATGGGCAAAAAACGAAAATCATTTCTTCGGATGACGAACCTTCGCTTTCAACAGAGGCCATACAAAAAATATTTGAAGGATGAGAGCATGGAGCACCACAGAACGAGGGCGCGCCCGAACTTCAGCGAGAGAGCCATACGCACTTTTAAAGATATGTTGTATAGGCGGGTGGAAGCTGATGAAAGGAAAGAGACGGCAAATATTCAATGGACGATTACTTTTTAGAAATATTACTAACATATAACAATTCAATGAAGCATTCCGCCCATGGCTTCACACCGAAAGATGCCCGAAAATCAAGTAATGCGTTGAAGGTGAAGCAAAACTTAACGATGAAGGGAAAGAAAAACAGTGTTTATCCCGAAATGGATGTCGGAGATGAGGTTAAAATCTTTAGGAAAAGGACGCCAAACGAAAAGGAAAGGGTGAGCAACTGGTCACAGAATATTTACACCATTGAGAAAAAGAGAATAAGTTAGGTCAGAAATACAATTATGTTAATGGTTCAGATAGGTCTTATTTGCGATTTGAGTTGTTAAAGTTTGACGGCTGGATGACATTTATCCCAACCTTTTGCTTTTGTGTAAGCATACTTAGATATTACTAGTTGCCCACGTTTTCTTGTTGCTTTTGCGACTCTGCTCGGCGTGACGCTTTGCTTGTTGTTTGGGCCTGGATGTGTGAGGCGATGGTGGTTGACCTGGGTGGGTGGTGTTATCAAAAACACTAGGGTTTGCGCTTTAGGGTTCAGGGTTTAGGATTCAGGTTTAGCGTTCAGGGTTTAGGGTTCAGGGTTGAGGGTTTAGGGTTTATGGATAAGACTGTTACGCGCAAAACTATGTTTTGTTCCGATACAGCTTAGGATCTAGAAAGCGTGGTAGTATCCTATTTCCATGCCCTTCACCCCACCGAGCAACTCATACGCCTTCTACCAATCTGCTTCCCCGCCCCCCCGTTCCACTCGCGTGCACACGCACACACACAAACCCAAACATCACCTTCTGGCCCAAGGTAAAGCCCAGGAAAGTTTGATTGTTTGTCGTTCTAGCCAGCATGCCGCAGAAGTCGCTATTGTTTCTACTGAAACTTGCCATGCTGCTTTGGGCGATGCGGTTGTCTCTTCGTGTCCATTCTGGTTCCGGGCACGTGCCAGAGTTTGGTCACATATGTTTTGGATTGCGGCAGCTTCAATATGCCGGTTTCCTGTCCAGCAAGCATCGACGCAGACGGTCGTCACTTGATCTCTCTCGGCTGGAATGCTTTGCGCGCAGCAGAGGTGAGCAGTGTGATGCGCCAAAAGGATCGGGACCAGTTCGGGCAGCCTCAGCGGGCTTAAATGCTCATACCTGTGCAGTGCGCTCAGATGGTCAGCTAGTCTGTTTCGGATACAACAGTGATGGGCAGTGTGATGTGCCAGCAGAGTTGGGACCAGTTCGGGCAGTCTCAGCGGGATTTGGTCATACCTGCGCAGTGCTGTCAGATGATCAGCTAGTCTGCTTCGGAGGCAACAAGTTTGGGCAGTGTGATGTGCCAGCAGAGTTGGGACCAGTTACAGCAGTTTCAGCGGGCTATGGGCATACCTGCGCAGTGCGGTCAGATGGTCAGCTAGTCTGTTTTGGAGCCAACGAGTTGGGGCAGTGTGATGTGCCAGCAGATTTAGGACACTTGGGACCAGTTGTGGCAGCCTCAGCGGGTTTTGCTCATACCTGCGCAGTGCTTTCATATGGTCAGCTGGTCTGTTTCGGATGCGCAGATGGGCGGTGTGTTGTGCCAGCAGAGTTGGGACGCAGTTACAGCAGTCTCAGCGGGCTTTGGTCATACCTGCGCAGTGCGGTCAGATGGTCAGCTGGTCTGTTTCGGAGCCAACGAGTTGGGGCAGTGTGATGTGCCAGCAGAGTTGGGACCAGTTCGGGCAGTCTCGGCGGGTTTTCATCATACCTGCGCAGTGCGGTCAGATGGTCAGCTAGTCTGTTTCGGAGACAACAGAGAGGGGCAGTGTGATGTGCCCGAAGAGTTGGGACCAGTTACAGCAGTCTCAGCCAGCCGGACGTATACCTGCGCAGTGCGGTCAGATGATCAGCTTATTTGTTTTGGAGAAGAATTCCCACGGGTGGAGTGATGCGGACGACCGCTGCTGATGCAGAAAGAGCGTTGCTAACGGCATATCTACTTCACTTGCAACCCTAGTTAAGATGACCACTTCCACTTTCAACCTTTAGGGCTTAGGGATGTTACTTTCGGGTTTTCCTATGGGGGTGCGGATATTGGAGTTTGGGTTGAGCCTAGTGTGGGTCTTCTAATGGTTTTCTGGGTCTTCAGGCGGGTCGCGAAGCGAGCGAGCCTTTGACGAGGCGTCTTCTAGGGTTTAGGGTTTAGGGTTTTTCTAGTGGTGTTTTGGATGGGGATTGGGGTGGTTTGGTTAGGTGGATTGAGACTTGGTGGGTAGGGGGGGTGCTAGATGAGAAAATGGAAATGGCAGCTTCTAACTTCTATGAGCCCCCCAAGAGGATGAAAGGAACCCTACTTATTACATGTGAGTTTCCGAAATTTCGAGGTAACTTCAAAGGGATCCTTTGAGGCTTCCTTAAAGAGATCTATAAGGGTTCTACAAAGGGTTTAGGGTGTAGAGTTTCCGAAAATTCAGGGTACATTATTTTGGGGCCCTTATGATAAGGGTCCTACTATTGAGGTACGATATTAGGGCCCCCTATTTTCGGAAGCCCCTACATCCTCCGTGCATCAAAATCAAGCACATGAAGCAAAGCATGGAGATGACTTTGGTAAGCATAGAACAGGAATTGGTGAGAGGTTAGAACAGGAATTGGGACTGTATAATAACCCCGTGCTGTTAAGTTTAGTCTTGACATGTCCCTGTTCGGTTTTGATGGTCCTCCGTGCAAAACGATAAGAAGAAAACAAAACGATAACAAAACATTACGAAAGGGTAACGCATTTTTCGTGGTAAAACGATAAGAAGAAAATAGAACGACAACAACACTCAGGGATAAGGATTTTTATACGGGGTTATTATACAACCCCGAATTGGTGAGAGGTTGTTTTGGGCGTTTATACGCCCTAAACCCTAAACCCTTCAAATCAGAGCCCAAGCCCGGAGAAGCACTTTGGGGCCTTCCCTGAACCCTCCCTATTGCGTTGCCTCAGAAGCTAACAGGTCATGTGATACAACATAACTGTGCTGGCTACAGATGTTCCGTAGACCTGGCAGTCTATGCACCCATCGGCGTTTTGTAGGGCTTACTATAGGGAAACTGACGGTCCATACACACATAGGATGGTATCGTTGGTTGCTCATTCGCGGGACAACTTTTCTTTTCCCACGGCCACCTTTGGCTCACATCCGCAGGGTGCTGCGACTTTTCTTTTCCCTGCGTCTTTTACAACTTGCCCCCCCCACACTTCGCGCGCGTCACAGAGTTGTTTTTCCCAGTCGTTTGCCATTGGAGCTGCTGAGATGAGCCTTGGCGGCAATGGACGGCAGGGCTTGTATCCCTAGAACATCCCCGAGGGTCCGACGGACCCAATAATCAGGTACTTGGGTTCAGGATAGTAGTTATGTAGGTTAATACTTTGGGAGAACATGTGATCATTTGGTGATTGGACCCTTACCCTAAGGCTCGAAGGACTCATATTATATGGCTTCTGGGCCCAAAGACCATACTATATAAGGTTTTTGGGCTATTTTGGGCCTTAGGGTTTGGGGGCAAGGGCCTTGACTTTGGGATTGCCTCGCCTACCTTGGCTCCACCCTGTTTAGAATCCTATCAGGTACTCCCAAAAAGGAACTACTTTGGGGCCTATGGGTAAGGTATAGGGTTTAGGGTTTGGGAGAGCGTGTTAGAATCCTATAAGGTACCCAGAGCCTCCCAAACCCCTTAATTAAGGAATGTAACTTAAATCATAATAGGACCCCTAATATGATTCACGGTATATTCCTTAATTAAGGGATTTTGGAGGCTTTGGGTAATCCCCGAAATGGAACTACTATGGAGCCGCTGGGTATAGGGCTTTTGGGGTTTAGAGTTTTACCGCTCTGTGATACTCGGGCTGCTCGAGGAGAAGAGGCGTAGTCTCGTAGTCCTGGCCGTTTTACGAAGACTACTTTGGAGGATCATCGGACTGAGTAAGTAAGGTTATAAGTACCCTAATTGGAGTTATACGTATAGTTACGTTATATGTATAGTTACCTTATTTATAACCCTAGTTACTAAGTCCGACGATCCTCCAAGTATTCAAATTCCCAAATGGTCCAAGTAGTAATTATGGTATATACTTAGACCCCCCCCAAATACCCTATAAGTATACACCGGAATGATACTTGGACCCTTTGGGATTGCCACCGTTGCAATAGCTATGCATAGAGCAAAGAGCTTGTAACCTCTAGTGCTGCTAGGGTGTGGCGGTTTCGGCAGAAATCCTAAACGCGACAACCGGAACCCCTAACTGCGTTAGACACCATAGCTTACCTCAGCCCCGAATGACTTCCCTTTTGAGTACCTATACAAGGAAGTCATTGCATTCCAGGGTTTAGGGTTTAAAGATGAGGGGCTTAGGGTTTAGGGTTTAGTTTAGGGTTTAAGGTGAATGGGCTTCGGGCTTTCAGGGCAGCTTCGGGCTAGATATCTGTTCACAACCCCCCTACTCGCAGAACCCTGATCTCTAAGGTTTCCAAGCTCCATCATCAAGACTTGCTCTGTGACACGCGGAATGAATGCCGCCCAACGACTGGCGCAGGCCCATGGCTTTCGAGTGCCCATATCGCCCTAAGAGTCCATGCACCCAAGTATACTTTGGCCTTAACGTACTCCCTATATAAAGGTACATTGGGACCAAAGTCTATACTAGTTGGGTACATGGACCCTTAAGCCCTAAACCCTAAACCCTTATAGGAGTCCTTATAGGATCCCTTAAAGGAGCCTTATTTGGGCACATGGACCCTGGGGGTCGTATACACTTTGGATACCCGTATAGGGAGTATACTTGGAGAGGCCAAAGTCTATGGTACCATAAATAGTAGGATGCTTATTCTAATGGCACCAACATAAAGTACCCCTCATTTTTGGAAACTCACATATATGGATATACTTGGAGAGGCCCAAGCCTACAAGTATGACTCCATGGACCCTTGAGGGAAATCCCCACAAGCCCTAAACCCTATAGCACCTACACCCCAAACCCTCTAAACTCTTGACACAAAGCCCTAAACTCTAAACCCCTAAACCCTAAACCTTTAAACCCTAAAACCTTAAACCCTAAACCCTAAACCCCTAAACCCTAAACCCCTAAACCCCTACACGCCCGCCCCACAGTGGAAGCTGGCAGGACAATGGCTCGTTCTTGGCCCGAGTTAAGAACTTGGCCGAGAATGCGGCATCAGACCCTCGGCACCACCCCATGTGCTCATGAGGCTTCCTTTTTAGGGTTCTCTTAAGGGATTCCTAAACCCTAAAGCCCTAAACCCTAAACCCCTGTAAGGCTACTATAAGAGGGTCTGGGGATTCCCAGGGTATATGGCCCCATGTGCCCATCTAGCAAGTATCTAGGCCTTGTTTGGGTGTTTCCATATAGGTAGTTGTCAAAATTATGGGTCCCTTCTTGGGTACCCTAAATATTTGGTGCCGTACTATATTAGGGACCCAAAAAGCGACCATGATTTTGACAACCATCCATATAGGTAGCTTAAAGGGAACTCCAGAAAGTTGGAATATGGTTGCCATAGAAGGGTTAGGATAATCATATTCCAACTTTTTGGCTTCTACCTTAAGGCCGAGGTGATGATGTTCGGATTTAGGCGTTTTGGGGTTTAGGGTTTGAGATTTGGAAGACCGGGGCCCCAAACCTTGAACCCTGGGTGAAGGGGTATAGGATTCATGCGCGGATTAGGGTTGAGTGCTTAAGGCTCTTATAGAGGGATCTATAAGGTTCTCTAAGGGTTCAAGGTCTATAGGGTTTAGGCTTTTAGTTTTAGGTTTCAGGGATTAGGGTTAAGGGTTTAGGGAAATCTTAAGGTCGAAGGTTGGATCCGCCCTAACCTTATATGCAGTCACTCCCCCAATAGTCTCCAGTGTAGATCCTTTTCCTAAGTTACTTTATAGTTGTTATTTTAAAATTAATTACCTAAAATCTCGGCCTTTTGGACCCTCAAAGGCTATGGCAGATTTTGTCGAAAAAGATCCGATCCAACACTCTATTAGAGAAAATTTATAGTATGGTAACTACCTTAAGGACGAATTTCTCGCTTCGACAGCCCCTGCTTTCTGGCCATTTTGGTGCAGGTGTTTTGAACAACTGCCACAAAGGCCGCAAGCCCTAATTATAAGCCTTAAGCTCACAACCTTTAACGGCTGAGGATGTAATCAGCTCGCTTTGATCTTGTTGCTTGAAACTTGTGGGTTGTAGAGTTCGGGGTTTAGGAACCCTAAACCCTAAACCCTTACGTCACAGAGAAGGAAGTATTGACTTTTCAAACAGTTAAGTAGGCGGGCCCCTTGGGGCCCAAGCATCCACCACTTGAGTACTTCGATCCTTGCATTAGGGTTCCAAAACCCGAAGAGGAGCTTACCCTAAGGGTCCAAGTACCTAATAATCATACACTCTCCGAAATCCTAACCTACATAGCTACTATCCTAAAACTGAGTACCTAATTATTGGGTCCGTTGGACCCTTGGGGTTAGGGTATTGTATCCCTGTGGGCCGCACGACTCCTGCTGTCAATGCTTAGCCTTCAACAGGGTAGTTCTCAAAATTGGGTTCCCCCCTTGAAGGTACCCTAAATAAATAGGTGCCGTATTACAACAAAGACCCAAAAAGGGCCCATAGTTTTGACAACCAGCCAAAAGTACCTATAAGGGACTCGTTAATGCACAAGTGTGTTGTACTATGTCGGCACATGGACCCCTTAGGGTCAGTCATGCAGAAGCCATGCCAAGTCAGTTCACCTCGCATTGATCTACGGTTGATGATACATATGTATATACATATATGTATATACATATTCATATAGACTTCCTGAATGACCCCCCATAATAAGGAATACACGGTAATTCCATAGTTTAATGTCCTTGAGGTAACGCAGAGTTTACATCATCAACCGTAGAACCG